TTTCACCGTGTTAGCCAGGATGGTCTTGATCTCCTGACCTCGTGATCCGCCCGCCTCGGCCTCCCAAAGTGCTGGGATTACAGGCGTGAGCCACCACACCCGGCCATTCTCCCTTAACTTTAACAATCTTGCTAAGAAACTTTTTAGCAGGTATTAATCTAAGGGTTCAAATTCCAGCTTTACCACTTATTAGGCACTGGTGCTTTCCAGCATTTGTCTAATGTCATTCTCACAAGCTTACAGAGTAAATATTATTCCCATTTAGAGATGATATAACTAAAGAGCAGAAGGCTTAAGTAACTTAACATTACTATAAGCTAAGAGTGGTAGTGCTGCAATTTGAACCCAGCACTATCTCACTCCAAGGTGAATGCTCTTAAGCACCACATTATACAATGCCTTCTCTGTAGTATATAAAACTAACAGTTGTAATTTTTCATGTACATAATTTTGTAAATTTTGTGTCATCACAAAAATCTCCATGAAAAAAAAAATCACGAGAGTAAAAAGTTGAAATTTGGCCAGGCGCAGTGGCTCACACCCATGATCCCAGCATTCTATGAGGCTGAGGCAGGCAGACTGCTTGAGCCCAGGAGTTCACGACCAGCCTGGACAACACAGCAAAACCCCATCTCTAACAAAAAATACAAAAATTAGCTGGGTGTGATGGCATGCGCCTGTAGTCACAGTTACTCGGGAGGCTGAGGAGGGAGAATTGCTTGAGCCCAGGAGGTGGAGGTTGCAGTGAGCCAAGACTGCACCACTGCACTCCAGCTTGGGTGAGAGAGTGAGAACCTGTCTCAAACATAAATAAATAAATAAAAATAAAGTTTTAAGATAAGATTAAAAAAGGAAAGAGTCCAAATTCTATAACTTAACCTTTTGGCAGAGCATTCTTTGTACTTTAAATTTATTCACATTGCTGGGTGCGGTGGCTCACGCTTGTAATCGCAGCACTTTGTAAGACCAAGACGGGTGGATTACCTGAGGTCAGGAGTTTGAGACCACCCTGGCCAACATGGTGAAACCCCATCTCCACTAAAAATACAAAAATCAGCTGGATGTGGTAGCACATGTCTGTAATCCCAGCTACTCGGGAGGCTGAGGCAAGAGAACCACTTGAACCTGGGTGACAGAGGTTACAGTAAGCTGAGATTGTGCCACTGCATTCCAGCCTGGGTGACAGAGCAGGACTCTATCTTGGGGAAAAAAAAAAAATTTTCTTTTTTTCTTTTTTTTTTTTTTTGAGACGGAGTCTCGCTCTGTCGCCCAGGCTGGAGTGCAGTGGCCGGATCTCAGCTCACTGCAAGCTCCGCCTCCCGGGTTCCCGCCATTCTCCTGCCTCAGCCTCCCGAGTAGCTGGGACTACAGGCGCCCGCCACCTCGCCCGGCTAGTTTTTTGTATTTTTTAGTAGAGACGGGGTTTCACTGTGTTAGCCAGGATGGTCTCGATCTCCTGACCTCGTGATCCGCCCGTCTCGGCCTCCCAAAGTGCTGGGATTACAGGCTTGAGCCACCGCGCCCGGCCACATTTTCTTTTTTTCTTTGAGACAGAATCTCGCTGTTGCCCAGGCTGGAGTACAGTGGCACAATCTTGGCTCACTGCAACCTCCACCTCCCAGTTAAAGCGATTCTCCTGCCTCAGCCTCCCAAGTAGCTGGGATTACAGGTATGCGCCACCACGCCTGGCTAATTTTTGTTATTTTCATAGAGACAGGGCTTTACTATATTGGCCAGGCTAGTCTTGAACTCCTGACCTCAGGTGATCAATCCATTCGCCTCAGCCTCCCAAAGTGCTGGGCTTACAGGTGTGGGCCACCGTGCCCGGCCCACATTTTCTTTCTATGAGTAATTTTTTCCAAGCAGGGCTATCTAGAGTAAAGGAGAAACAAGAGGCAAGCTTCAAAGGCACTTACACTTTCAGCATTTCAATAGTGATGGGAAGAGACCTGGTCCGACCCAGCGTACTGCTGTCCTCAGAAAAGCCATCACTGTTTTCAAAGAGCAACGAGTGAGCTCTGTGAGAACCCTCCAGAGGAGGAGTCATGGGAAGTGGGCTGGTGAGGGCCTGCTGGATTCGAATATGCAGTGGGAGTGGAGGCAACCTAGAGGGTATATGGGGCTCCCCAAAGTTCTGGTCCAATATCCTCTTGGGGACTTCCTTTTTCTGATCTTCCTGCTGGGGAATCTCCTGGTGTAGATCTATGGATGGTGGAAACTCAATTTCTGGCACAACTTTAAAAGTCTTAGCAGAGAATGGAGGGGTGTGTGGAGGCTCTGGAGGTATATGAGCAGGCAGTGGGGGGGACGGAGAGCGAGGTGAGATCATTGATAGCAGTTCTGAGCCCATAGAACATGTGCTCTTCTCTCTTTCATCACTTGGTGTTTTTGTGGTGATGGCAGCAGCAGACTCCAAGGTGGGTACTGAGGTCGATGGAATGCCTCTCTTAGGTGGTAAGGGTGGGGATGGTTTTGATAACAATGTACCACTGTTTATTGCTTGGGACAGTTCAGCTGGAAAAGAGAGAGCAACACATCAATTTCACATGACTTTCCAATGCTTTGAAGGGCTGGCCCAGGGCCTAGAATTAAAGTTGAGTTCAGTTTTAATCTTTCAAGCAAGTTAAATAATTTCATAGTTTTGCCATTCCCTACATATTTTATCCTGAAACGAAGTTTATATTTATTCAAATAGAAGGCCTAATAAATGTACAGAGGTGTAGGAAGACTGATGAGTAGCTTACTTCATTGCTATGGCAACAGATACAACAATTTTTTTTTTTTTTGAGACAGGGTCTCACTCTCTCGCCCAGACTGGAGTGTAGTGCGCGCGATCTCGGTTTACCGCAACCTCTGCCTCCCAGGCTCAAGTGATTCTCCTGCCTCAGCCTACCAAGTAGCTGAGATTACAGGCACATGCCACTATGGCCCGGCTAAGTTTTGTATTTTTAGTAGAGATGGGGTTTCACCATGTTGGCCAGGTTGGTCTCGAACTCCTGACCTCAAATGATCCACCTGCCTTGGCCTCTCAAAGTGTAGGGATTACAGGCGTGAGCCACGGCACCCGGCTGACAACTTTTTGTAATTTGATCTTTGTGTAGTTAATATGAATAGAGACAAAAACATCCAACAAAAAGTTATTTTGTGGCTGGGCACGGTGGCTCACGCCTGTAATCCCAATACTTTGGGAGGCCGAGGTGGGCAGATTAGTTGAGGTCAGGAGTTCGAGACCAGCCTAGCCAACATGATGAAACCCCGTCTACTTAAAAAACAAAAACGGCCGGGTGCGGTGGCTCACGCCTGTAATCCCAGCACTTTGGGAGGCCGAGGCAGGCGAATCACAAGGTCAGGAGATCGAGACCACGGTGAAACCCTGTCTCTACTAAAAATACAAAAAAAAATGAGCCGGGCGAGGTGGCGGGTGCCTGTAGTCCCAGCTACTCGGGAGGCTGGGGCAGGAGAATGGCGTGAACCCAGGAGGCGGAGCTTGCAGTGAGCCAGGATCGCGCCACTGCATTCCAGCTTGGGTGACAAAGCAAGACTCCGTCTCAAAAACAAAAAAAAAAACAAAAAAAACCCAAAAAAAACCACAAAACAACAACAACAACAAAAAAAAAACCCAAAAATTAGCTAGGTGTAGTGGCAGGCACCTGTAATCCCAGCTACTTGGGAGAGGTTGAGGTACGAGAATCTCTTGAACCTGGGAGGCAGAGGCTGCAGTGAGCCAAGGTCACGCCACCGCATTCCAGGCTGGACAGAGCAAGATTCTGACTCAAAAAAAAAAAAAAAAAAAAAAGAAAAAAATCTGGAAAAAAAAAAAAAAAAAAAAAAAAGGTTATTTTGTGTAACAGTACTCCATTAAAAAATTTAAACATTCAGATAGCATAAAATAAGTATTAGTGGGTATTGTTACCATATCCTGATAATGATATCTCAATATCTCAGCTCTGTGTTATAAAACTATCAATACTGACATCTTGAATTTTTATAGCAATTGCAAAGTCCTTTGAATAAATCAGTGTTTTCTGTCCTTGAAGTCATATTCTCCTTCTACCACCTGAGGTGACAGGGGAAACAAGATAGCATCTTTACCATTTTTCAGAAGGAAAAAGCGAGGCCACAGAAGTTAGGCGACTTTGCCCAAGATCATACTACAAACTGGCATGGACTCAGCTAGTATCCAGGTCTCTGACTATTTGACTGCATCCTACTGTCTCTATTTATTACTTTTTTTATTTTACTTTTTTTGAGACAGAGTCTCACTCTGTCGCCCAGGCTGGAGTGCAGTGGCACGATCTCGGCTCACTGCAAGCTCTGCCTCCTGGGTTCACACCATTCTCCTGCCTCAGCCTCCCGAGTAGCTGGGATTACAGGTGCCTGCCACCAAGCCCAGCTAATTTTTTTTTGTATTTTTAGTAGAGATGGGGTTTCACTGTGTTAGCCAGGATGGTCTCATAATCTCCTGACCTCGTGATCTGCCCACCTTGGCCTCCCAAAGTGCTGGGATTACAGGTGTGAGCCACCGTGCCCGGCCTACTGTCTCTAATTTTTATTACTGTGTACACTTCTTATGTTCCCTTTGCACCTCAGCTTCCCATGTTCACTCTCCACTATATGATGGGCTCCTTGATGGCAGGGCAACCTTGTCTCCATCAACATATCATCCACAGGGCTGTGCACAGTACCTGGCATCTAGTGGACCCTCAATATATGCTTATGAGATGAGAAGCCCTCACCCTGTATCATGACAGTATATATTCCTATGGTTTCACCAAAGCCCACAATGACTCAGCTAAGGTGTTGTTGTTTCAGCAAAATTCCTTTGGAGGGCTGCAGAAGACCTGTAAAAGTGGATCATCAGATCACACAGGAGCAAAACTGGTAAAATAATTAGAGTAGTCATTTTTTCCCTGCTGAAAGCAAAAAAAAAAAAAAAAAGCAGTTCTTTTGATCACCAACCTGTAACCTACTCAAACCCTTTATTTTTATTTTCATCCCACTCAGTATTCTCAAATGGTCTCAAAAACTTCCCTTAAATAAAACTGTATTTGTCCTAAATCCCAAAAATTGGAGACGTTCAAAGTAAAAGGCCAGCTAATTATTTTTTTCTTTTTTGAGATGGAGTTTCGCTCTTGCTGCCCAGGCTGGAGTGCAATGGCACCATCTCAGTTAACCACAACGTCTACCTCCTAGGTTCAAGTGATTCTCCTACCTGAGCCTCCCAAGTAGGTGGGATTATAGGCACGCGCCACCAGGCCCGGCTAATTTTTTGTATTTTTAGTAGAGACAGGTTTCTCTATGTTGGTCAGGCTGGTCTTGAACTCCCGACCCCAGGTGATCCACCCACCTCGGCCTCCCAAAGTGCTGGGATTACAGGTGTGTGCCACTGTGCCCGGCCAAGGCTAGCTAATTTTGTAATTCTTCTTTTTTCTTTTGAAACAAGGTCTCCCTCTGTTGCCAGGCTGGAGTGCAGTGGCATGAATAATAGCTCACTGCAGCCCCGATCTCCTGGGTTGAAGTGATCCTCTTGCTACAGCCTCCCAAGTAGCTAGGACTACAGGTCGATGCCACCATACTTGGCTAAATTTTAATTTTTAGTAGAGACAAGGTCTCGCTATGCTGCCCAGGCTGGTCTTGAGCTCCTGGGCTCCAGTGATAGGCCCACCTCAGCCTCCCAAAGTGCTGGGATTATGGATGTGAGCCATCACACCCAGCCTCTTTTTCTTTTTCTTTTTTATTTATTTATTTTTGAGACGGAGTCTCGCTGTGTCGCCCAGGCTGGGGTGCAGTGGCGCGATCTCGGCTCACTGCAACCTCCGCCTCCTGGGTTCAAGCCATTCTCCTGCCTCAGCCTCCCAAGTAGCTGGGATTACAGGCATGCGCCACCACGCCCGGCTAATTTTTTGTATTTTTAGTAGAGATGGGGTTTCACCATGTTAGCCAGGGATGGTCTCGATCTCCTGACCTCGTGATCCACCCGCCTCGGCCTCCCAAAGTGCTGGCTGGGATTACACGTATGAGCCCCCACGCCCGGCCTTTCTTTTTCTTTTTAAATTAAATTATTTTAGACAGGGTCTCACTGTGTCACTGGAGTGCAGTGGCGCAGTCACGGCTCACTTCAGTTTTAACCTCCCTGGGCTCAGGTGATCCTCCTACCTCAGCCTCCCAAGTAGCTGGGACTATAGACATGTGCCACCATGCCCAGCTAATTTTTTGGGGGTTACTTTTTGTAGAGATGGGTTTCTCCACATTGTTTAGGCTGGTCTCAAACATTCTACCTGCCTCAGCCTCCCAAAGTGTTGGTACTACAGGTGTGAGTCAACCAGCCGTACCCAGCCTTTTTTTTTTTTTAGAGACAGGATGTCGCTCTGTTACCCAGGCTGGAGTGCAGTAGTGTAATCATAACTCACTGCAGCCTTGAACTCCTGTGTTTACCCAATCCTCTTACTTCAACTTCCCAAGTAGCTAGAATTACAGGCACATGTCACCATGCCCAGCTAATTTTTAAATATTTTATAGAGATGGGGTCTTGCTACGTTGCTCAGGCTGGTCTCGAACTCCTGGCCTCAAGTAATCTTTCCACCTCGGCCTCCCCAAATGCTGGGATTATAGGCATGAGCCACTGTGCCTGGCCTAATTTTATAATGTTTTAATGTCACTCATTATAAATACTTTCTTCCTTTTTTTTTTTTTTTTTGAGACAGAGTCTCGCTCTGTTGCCTAGGTTGGAGTACAATGGTGCAGTTTTGGCTCAATGCAACCGCCACTTCCCGGGTTCAAGCGACTCTCCTGCCTCAGCCTCCTGAGTAGCTGGGATTACAGGCATGCACCACCATGCCCAGATCATTTTTTGTATTTTTAGTAGAGACGGGGTTTCACCATGTTGCCTAGGCTGGTCTCAAACTCTGGGCCTCAAGCGATCTGCCCTCCTCGGTCTCCCAAAGTGCTGGGATTACAGGCATGAGCCACCGTGCCTGGGCCCATAAATAAATTTTAAAAAAGGCTTTCTAGAAAAACACTTCATACACACACAAAAAGATTCTAAAAATATGAATTTTAGGAGCAGTGAAAGATATATTTTTGGAAAGATTGGATTTTTGCTGATTCTCTAAAAACAGCTGTTAGCTATTCCATCTACAACAAAACTCATTCCTGATGAGACCATAAATGAATATTTTTACTTTTGAATTAATAAGATAAATTATATTTGGTAATCTGAGGAAGGCATATATGTTAAGGAAGTAAATTCCGGTACATATACCCTGACAACAGCATCTGGCTGTAGTTTTGTGGAAAAATTCCAGAGTGTTTCTGGGATGGGTAATAATTCTCTTTCACCTGTTCAGCTATTGCTGGTAGTTTTTCCTTAGTCCTAATACTCCATGTTATACCAATGAGAAGACAGTAGTACTTCTGAAGCAATGGTTTCCAAACTTTTGGATTTCAGTGACTAAAACAATAAAAAAAATCTTGATCAACCTTAGATTGTTGGGTTTTTTTTCTAGTTTTTTTATTGAGGTTGTCATTTTCTAAGATTTCCAAATAAGGCTTGATATTAAGTAAACCATTTATGAACATAATCCTTTTGTGAAAGAAATGGCAAATTTCCTTTGGGGAAAGGATTACGAAGATTATAATTTTAGAATAAAAGAGAGTCCGTTAAATTAAATCTATTTAGCTCTAAGTAATGCTCTGTGAACTGTTCTATTTTTCTTCTTCTGCTGAGGACCCCTCATGGACTAATACTGATTCCTCAGTTACAAGGTCTATTGTTTTGGGCTATTTACCTCAAGCCAAGAATGAGCTCTGCAGTGTAGTCCAGGGTATCATACACAAATGATCATTTTATATGTTGCCTTAATTTGAAAAGGGTGGTATTCCACTGGTCTAGCACAGAGGCTCTCAATGTGTGCTCCCTGGACAGCAACATCAGTATCATCTGGGAACCTATTAGAAAGGCAAATTCTCAAGCCCATCTCAGACTTACTAAAATCAGAAACTCTAGGGGAAGCATCCAGCAGTCTGTTATCATAAACTTTCTAGGTGATCCTGAGGAGAACACCAGTTTGCGAACACTACTGTAAGGAACAGAGGTCTGGACCTGAGAGTTGAAAAGCCTATGTTCAGTTTCTATCTTTCACTAACTACAACCTTTTTTTTTTTTTTTTTTTGAGATGGAGTTTCGCTCTTGTTGCCCAGGCTGGAGTGCAGTGGCACAATCTCAGCTCACTGCAGTGTCTGCCTCCCGGGTTCAAGCAATTCTCCTGCCTCAGCTTCCCGAGTAGCTGGGATTACAGGTGCCTGCCACCATGCCCAGCTAATTTTTTGTATTTTTAGTGGAGATGGGGTTTCGCCATGTTGGCCAGGCTAGTCTTGAACTCCTGACCTCAGGTGATCTGCTTCCCAAAGTGCTGGGATTACAGGCATGAGTCACCACGCCCGGCCTACAACCTTGAATGAATCACACACAATGTCTTCATGTTCTAATTGCCCTACCTATAGAAAAGATAAAATCGGTTTCCTGCAGCACAAGGTAGTTTTGAAAATAAGTATGTGAAGGCTCCCCAAGTTCCTCACAGATAAGTCAACATGACACTATCCTTCCAAAGTGGTGGTAATAACAACTTCACCCTGTTTTCATCAAGCTACTCCAAACTGTCATACTCATAAAATATTCTAAGCCTGTTTTTCAAGGTTTGAATCACTCCACCCAACTTGGTGATATTAAATATTTAATGAGTATAGTTTTTATTCATTCATTCAATCCTGAACAAGAACTTTAAGCAGTACTAAGCCTAGTATCATTTTTCCTGAAAAAACTATATTTTTATTAGCTTTGAAGCACTCATTAGCTTTCCTCTCCCTTTCTTGAAAGTTCTTCTAAGAAACTGTACATTTATATAAAGAAAGTAGACTTAAATAGAACTTTGGGTAAATGCAAAAAATTTACTAAACCCATACAAATTTACTGATTATGTTCCCTGCTTTCTCTACCATCACTTATTTTAATATAAGAATAGTATTCTTAACTCTCCCAAGATAAAACATGATTTTCTCAGAACAATTTAAGTAATACCTTCTGCAGTTCCCTATGAAAATATCTATGCCAGACACTGAATCCCAAGTTCCACTGACATCTACAGAATCATCCTTTTATCTACTAGACTCATTTATGCTTATGGAAGGCATAGGTAGTTTTAAGTAGATTAAACAAATTTTCATTTGAAGTTTGCCTTGCCCCTTGTGAGCTGAGGCATTATTCTAATTTTTTCACAAGTGCCACAGATAACTCCATGCAGGTGGAATCTGTTATGGTCTTCACATATCCAGTCCAACTATACACACACACATACACACACACACACACACACGCACACACACACAAAAATACAGTGTTTTGGAATCATTGTTTTAGAAAAACAGATTAAATATTAGATTAAAAAGTAGATTAAAACCCCCCAAACTTAAATCTAATCTTAGTGATGTTTACATTTATGGCCATCTGCCTCAGTTTCACGACTTTTTTTGTTTGTTTTTGTTTTTTTGAGACGGAGTCTCTCTCTGTCGCCCAGGCTGGAGTGCACAATCTTGGCTCACTACAACTTCCGCCTCCTGCGTTCAAGCAATTCTCTTGCCTCAGCCTCCTAAGTAGCTGTGACTACAGGCACGTGCCACCACGCCCAGCTAATTTTTTGTATTTTTAGTAGAGACGGGGTTTCACCATGTTAGCCAGGATGGTCTCGATCTCCTGACCTTGTTGTGATCCACCCACCTCGGCCTCCCAAAGTGCTGGGATTACAGGCGTGAGCCACTGCGCCCAGCCTATTTTTTCTTAACCTAAGACTTTTCTCCATATTGAGGTCATTCAAAGGGACAAGATATGGAAAATTCTCAGAGACTATCAATATTATACCAGTTATCCAATAAAATAACCATCCAACATCAAACCAAACCCAAAACACCAGAAGCCTAAAGACTTACTTACCAATGACAGGGTTGCTATTTCTGTGAGCTGGTTTAGGGGGAGGGATAGGGGGCTGCTTGGCAGGGACCATATGAGTGAGGCTTAAGGTAGCAGTAGTGTTAGTGCTGGCAGGAGTAGCAGGCAGAATCCTGGGTGCTGGGGAAGGAGTGACAGACAGATTAACAGTCTTTGCGAGGCTTGTGGCAGCAGTGGTGGCAGCGGGTGCTGTGGTGATGGAGGTGGAGATGATGAACCTTGCCATGCCGCCAGAGGAAGTGGCATCCTTTGCTTGACCTTCATTTGCTTCATGAGAAGAGGACAAGGGTCTTTTGGGAGGAAGTAAAGGTTGTTTGGGTACATTCTCAGGAACAGACTCTGCTTCAGAATTAGGCTGGCTTCCAGTTGAGCCTGTGTAATAACATGTATGATATAAAAAGGGAAGAGAGAGTAACAAGAGAGACTGAAAAAGCTAACACATCTATGAATTTATGGCCAATTTCACCAATTAATTTATAGATTAGCTCATAGGTTACCGTTCTCGATGCCTCCCAACCTCCCCATACTTAGGAAATGTCAGTAAGAAAGGCTCAGTAAGAGATGCTCATTGTGGTAGTGATTCTTCACACGAGGGCTAGGCTACTGGAGGAGAGCCACAACAAAATTCCTTGGGTGAAAGAAGTGGAATGTGTAGCTGGAAAAAATCCTATAGGTATCTGATACTAAACATCCTCTTCCCTTCTTGAGGATCACAAATTTGGTATTTTGTGAATAAAAGTGGAGCAGGGGAGGAAATTCCCCTTAAAGTTGCTAATTAAGGTATTGCTAAAGGAGAATGTAATTCTCTCTAGATTTTACTTTTCCCTATTCTCTTGCAAACTCCTTATGTAAAGGAGAATAACTGGTTCATGGCTCTTAAACTCAAAAATCCAGAGTTTCTTACCTAGTTGTTTCTTTAGGTCCTCTTCTGGAATAGCTTTCCTAAGACTTGCTAATCTTACTGGCTCTTCTTCTACTTGGACTGGACTAGATGATGTAGCATTCCCTACAGGGGTGGTATGGCCATTCTTTAACATGGCATGGCTTGGCTTTCCTGGATCCTCACCACCTGTAAGGTCAAAGAAGAGTACAAAGTGATGAAGTTGGCATGAACAGACAGAAGAGTTAGTAATTCTTTTCTTCTTTTTCTCTCTTTTTAAAATTGAGACAGGGTCTCACTATGTTGCCCAGGCTGGTCTTGAACTCCTGGGCTCAAGCAATCTGCCCGCCTTGGCCTCCCAAAATGCTAGGATGAATGGCATGAACCACTGCACCTGGCCAGAGTTGGTGATTTGAGACAGGGTCTCACAGACCAGGCTGGAGTGCAGTGGCATGATTTTGGCTCACTGCAGCCTCTGCCTCCCAGGCTGAAGTGATCTTCCTGCTTCAGCCTCCCAAATGGCTGGGACCACAGGTGTGTGCCTCCACACCCAGCTAATTTTTATTATTTTTGATGGAGATAGGGTCTCACTATGTTGCCTAGGCTGGTATTGAACTCCTGGGCTCAAGTGATCCACCCGCCTCGGCCTCCAAAAGTGCTGGGATTATAGGCGTGGGCCATAGCACCTGGACCAGAGTTGGTAATTTCTTTTTTTTTTTTTTTGAGACGGAGTCTCGCTCTGCCACCTAGGCTGGAGTGCAATGGCACAATCTCGGCTCACTGCAAGCTCTGCCTCCTAGGTTCATGCCACTCTCCTGCCTCAGCCCCGAGTAGCTAGGACTACAGGCGCCTGCTACCACACCTGGCTAATTTTTTGTATTTTTTAGTGGAGACGGGGTTTCACCGTGTTAGCCAGGATGGTCTCGATCTCCTGACCTTGTGATCCGCCTGCCTCGGCCTCCCAAAGTGCTGGGATTACAGGCGTGAGCCACCGTGCCCAGCCCAGGGTTGGTGATTTCTAAACTTTCTTATCTTCTTTCCCCCGTCTTCCTGTTTTAGTTTATTATTGAGATCTAGATTATCTGGATGCTTAAACAGAAATAAGTAATTTCTTTTTCCAATACATGTTTGATAGGCTATTATGTGCCAAGTATGTTGTTATATGAATAAGACCAATAAAAGCCAGGCGCAGTGTCTCACCTGTAATCTCAGCACTTTGGGAGGCTGAGGCAGGTGGATCACCTGAGGTCAAGAGTTCGAGATCAGCCTGGCTAACATGATGAAACCTTGTCTCTACTAAAAACACAAAAATCAGCCAGGTATGGTGGCAGGTGCCTGTAATCCCAGCTACTCAGGAGGCTGAGGCAGGAGAATCAATTGAACCCAGGAGGCAGAGGTTGCAGTAAGCCAAGATTGCATCATTGCACTCCAGCCTGGGCAACAGAGCAAAACTTCCAACTCAAAGAAAAAAAAAAAAAAAGACAGATGAATAGGGCAAACTTATTATATATAAGTAACTACAATGTTAAATGTCAAGAGCTCTAATTAGTGAAGTACTGTGGTAGGAATGAAGAATAAATCATTCTCCTGGAGTAAGAACAGAGTTAGGAAGGCATCACAGAAAGTATCTGAGCTGGAGTTGAGATGGTCTTGCTATGTTACCAGGATGGGTCTTGAACTCCTGGGCTCAAGCAATCCTCCTCTCTCAGACTCCCTATTAGATGGGACTATGGCACACACCACCATGCCTTGCTTTTAACTGGATCGTGAAGGAGTAGGAGCCTACCATACTGAATAAGACAGTCTGTTTGGAAGAAGCATAGCATGTATAAAGGTGTGAAGTTATTCAACATGTTTGGGGCACTGGCAACTAGTTTGGTCTGGCAGGAGAACAGATTCACATAAGAAATGGTTATGGGGGGCCGGGTGCAATGGCTCACACCTGTAATCCCAACACTTTGGGAGGCCGAGGCGGGTGGATCACCTGAGGTCAGGAGTTTGAGACCAGCCTCGCCAATACAGTGAAACCCTGTCTCTACTAAAAATACAAAAATTAGTTGGGTGTGGTGGCAGGCACCTGTAATCCCAGCTACTTGGGAGGTGAGGCAATAGACTCCATCTCAAAAAAAAAAAAAAAAAAAAAAAGAAATGGTTATGGGCTGGGCACAGCGGTGCTCATGCCTATAATCCCAACAATTTGGGAGGCTGAGGTGGGAGGATTGCTTGAGCCCAAGAGTTTGAGATCAGCTTGCGAAACATAGTGAGACCCTGTCTCTACGAAAAAGTAAAAAGACTAGCTGGGTGTGGTGGCACGCACCTAGTCCCAGCTAACTGGGAGGCTAAGGTGGGAGGACTGTCTGAACCCAGGAGGTCAAGGGTGCAGTAAGCTATGATCAGACCCCTGGTCTCTAGCCTGGGTGACAGAGTGATATCTAGCATCATTCTTCATGAAGTTCCAATAAGAGGTGGAGTGTGGGCTCAAAGTAATGAAGATTCTAAGGCAAGTGAAAAGGTACTTCAAAAGCCAAAGTAATCTGACAACTACTTTTTACTTTTAAAACAGGGTGGTGGTAAGATGACAACAACTATACAAAAATAGTAAGTTACTGCCCATGTTTAACAAAAACAAGATTTTCTAGAATATCGAAGCAATGATTTCAAAGCCAACAAAGACTGCTCTTTGTGAAAACAACATAACCAAAGTTTAAGACGGTGTTAATTAGTTGCTACTCAGTACACACTAGTAAAATACATGTAAAACTGATCAGTTATCTCAAGTTACTTAATCAGGGATGTCTACTTTGCAGTATCATTTCTTATATGAAATACAGAGGGTTCTGCAATGTTAATGAAGTGCAGTAGTACTGTGGGGCTTTAACATCATTGAATGTTCTCCCTAAATCCAGAAAATCAATTAAAATCTATTAAGTATTTTATAGTATAGTCAAGTTAGCACTACAATCAAGCCAAAAGCCACCTTTAAAAAAAACAAAAAACAAAAAACAACAAAAACAGGGTCTCACTCTGTCGCCCAGGCTGGAGTGCAGTGGTACAATACATACTTACTGCAGCCTTTCATCTCCTGGGCTCAAGCCTTCCTCCATCTTTTGGGCTCAGGTAGCTAGGACTACAGGCCTGCAATACCATACCTGGTTAATTAAAAAAATTTTTTTATAGAGATGAGGTCTCACTATGTGGCTCAGGCTGGTCTTGAACTACTGAATTCAAGGGATCCTCCCACACTGGCCTCCGAAAGTGCTGGGATTACAGCATGAGCCACCATGCCTGGCCAAACAAAGGCCCCCTTTAAGTATGAAGAGGACTTCAAGGTTCAAACACTATCTTTGGTCTAAAATGCAGATCTATAAGCCAGCATGAGGCCCATCCCTGTTTTTAGATACAGAATAAAGCTTAGGTCCGTTATCTGGTTGGCAGAGTGGCATCTTGTCCAATGGCTGCAACTTGTTTATTAATTGGGCCTTTGAACGTGTAGGCTAAAAACAACTTGGATTAGGAGCTAATAGAAAGTGTACGGCAAAAGATCGTTGGGCGTAGTGGCTCATGCCTGTAATCCCAGAACTTTGGGAGGCCGAGGCAGGTGGCTCACTTGAGCTCAGGAGTTTGAGACCAGCCTGGCCAACATCGTGAAACCCCGTCTCAACTAAAAATACAAAAATTAGCTGGGCGTGGTGATGCATGCCTACAATTTCAGCTACTTGGGAGGCTGAGGAAGGAGAATTGCTTGAACCCAGGAGGCAGAGGTTGCCATGAGTATAGGGCAAAAGAGATTGAAGATGAAAAACAAGAAATAAGTAATGTATGTGGTTTATGATAAGTGAGCAAGAAAGGTGAAAAGAAAGGCCATGGAAAGTGGAATGGCTGTATCAAAAAAGCAAGGGCCAGGCCAAGTGTGGTGGCTCACAAGGTTGGTGCTCATGCCTGTAATCCACACTTGGGGAGCTGAGGTGGGTGGAATCACCTTGGAGCCAAGAGTTCCAAAGACCCCAGCCTGGCCAACATGGTGAAAACCCCGTCTCTACTAAAAAAATACAAAAATTAGCCAGGTATAGGTGCAAGGTGCCTGTAATCCCAGCTCCTCGGGAAGGCTGGGAGGCTGGAAAATTTGGGGGGGGGCTTTGAACCCAGGACATGGAGGGTGCTAAGTGAGCCAAGATCACCCACCTGACTCCAGCCTGGAGACAGAGTGAGACTGTCTCAAAAAAATGAAAAGCAAACCAAAGGGCCCAACCAGAGTGGCCACAAGGTAGATCATTATAATAGTAATGTAACTACCTAAAATACTGAGAAGATTTTGTGTCCTATGTAAAAACAAAATAGAGTATGTAAAACAAAGTACACATCTCCATAACTAATCACATACCAAAAAAAAAAAAAAAAAAGAAAGAAACTAGTGCCGGGCACAGCACCTTACGCCCCTGTAATCCCAGCACTTTGGGAGCTAAGCCAAGGAGGAACCTGCTTGCTGCCCAGGAGTTAGACTGGTTCCTGGGCCAACATAGAGAACCCCCGTCTCCAATAAAAAAAGAAAAAAAAACCCCACCCCAAGTTTCCCGACTCACCTTCCAAGAGGTAATCAATTGTAATTAATATTTCAAATTGCTCTGCAGCTTATGTTTCGCTGGTTAGTTTCTTATACAGTTGAGAATAATCTCCAATACATACCCAATTTAAATTTTTTGAA